GTCAGTCTCCCCCCTAGCCTGTGAACTCCTGAAGGTCAGGTCAGTATCTCCTCTACTTTTGCATACCCAGAGCTTAGCAAAGTGTCTGGCACATAATAGACATTCAGCAAATGTTAATTGAGGAAACTCACCTTGTCTGAACATAGATTACACTATTAAAAAATTCCGATGAGTAGAAAGAAAATACAGAGTGAGGGGCTTAAGTAAGAAATTTAAAATCAAAGATCCAGGCTTCTTTGTCTGTGACTTTCTCTATCTTTGCCGTGTGGTTTGGAAGAGTCACTTAAGTTCTCTTACATCAGTGGGGTATCAGTTAAGACTCTTTCGGAAAATCAAACCCAAAACAGCCTAAGCAAAAACAGAACCTGACGTAGCTGAGAAAGCTGGTGTAGCTGAGATAGCTGGTGTAGCTGAGAAAGCTGGTGTAGCTGAGAAAGCTGGTATAGCTGAGATAGCTGGTGTAGCTGAGATAGCTGGTGTAGCTGAGAAAGCTGGTGTAGCTGAGAAAGCTGGTGTAGCTGAGATAGCTGGTGTAGCGAGATAGCTGACAGAATCAAAGAAACATCAACAGGAGCCAGGGCCTCTGGAGCCGACCCAGGGACTCCATCCATCTTCTTGCCTCTGCTTCTCTTTGAGTGTTGGCCTCACTGTCTCCTATCATGGAAAGGTCTTCTCCATAAGGTGGGAAATGGATCCACTGGCAGCCACTATGAAAGCCCAGAGGAAGAGAACAGAATCACTGCCCCCTGGCCAATATAGAATTATCAGTGAAGGTCTCTAATGCTCCCATTTGGGTTTCATGCCCTACTTGAGACCAACTGCTATTGCCAAGAAGATGAAACCCTATGATTGGCCAGTCCTGGACCATGAGCCCATCACTATGGTGAGGTGTAGGCGTGGGGTAGGGAGCAGGGGCTGTTGCCATAGCAAGGGAGATGGGAAAGTTTGCTGGATAGACAAACACAATGGTTGTCACAATCCATTAACCTAATAGCCATTTATTTGCCATTGTATTCATAATATTACTTTAGCTAATGCAAAAAAGAAAGCAGCAGCATCTTAATAGAGTGTTGTAAAACATAAAATGCATTACACTGACTACCTCAAAGATGGGCAAAGTGAATACATGGTAGCTTAGATAATTATAAGTGTGGTAATAAATGTCAAGGAATGAGCAAAACTTGTCCTCTTGATCTCAATTTTAAAAAAACAGCATAGAAACAACTTTTTGTCATCATATAGGCTGACAATAGAAAAACTCTTGGTCAGGACTTAAGGTGTAAGTGATGACCCAACAGCTCAAGGCCAAGTAGCCAAGAAGCTTCCCATAGCATCGGGAGAATAAAGAACACCCAGAGTCTTTTTTTCCCTGATGGGAAGATTCTATAACAAAAAGGTCATGGGGAGTGGCTCTTACAAATTCTACCCACTCCTACGGAGGAAAGAGGCATGACGACAGCTCACAGAGGACAACTGAGGTTTACGGAAAAGTAAAAATGAGGCTCTTCCCAGAAAAGTAAGAGGACAGCATCCCTCTGGCAGATTTAATTAAGAAAGCTCAGATATGCAGTATTGGTTCCCTTCCAATTTAGAGAAATGTGGACATGTGTCTAAGAGGTGGCAGGACTGCAGACAGAGGCTGAGAACACCACACCACTCAAATCACAGTCGGCCTCTCTGCAGCACCTGCCTCAAGGGACGTGGGAGTCATCATAATATTAAACACCTAGGTTTGCAGGTTTTTATCATCTCAGCTGGGGTACATAATGTTTAAAGTTCACATTTCCAGTATTTGATGCACTATCACACGTTAGGGATGCTACAATGCTAGGTTAAGAGTTATTTCTGATTCTTTCCCAGAGAACATGTGAAACAGCTACACTGGGGGTAAACCACTGACCAAAGCAAAACAAAAACCCTGTTTTCACGCAGCTTATATTCCTGTTGAGGGAGACAGACAATAACATAATAAATAAGTAAACGATGCAGTATTCAGATTGTAAGAAGGGCTAGAGAGAAGAAGGGATGGCAGGGGATGGCTGGGATTGGAATGTATAGAAGACAGAGTATTATCCTGCGCTGTTGAATCTTTGCAGATGACAACCACAGAAATCTGCTTGCTGCTGGTAAAGACCACTTCTCACCAGTGCAGAAAATGGGCGATATAAGGAAGGGAAAGAGAGAACCTAGGTAAACACAACAGTGGAATTCAGCCCTGGATTGTGGTTTTGCCAGATCCTTCCCAGTTCCCATCTCAGCTTAGATTTCTGTGCCCTAACCTGGGTAATGAGACTAAGAAAACCTGTCTCCCAGCCAGCTCATGGCATGGTGTGTTGGTCGGCCTAGTGACCCATAAGCTGATCCAAACATACATTTATCATAATTCTGAATATTAAAAAGCTCACACTGGATTTTTATGCTTCCTTCATCACCTACTAATTGAGCACCTACTATGTGCCAAACCCTGTCTCGGCACTGGAGGTATAGCCGTAAGCAAGACACATAAAATATCTGTCCTCATGGAACTTACATCCTAATGGAAGAGGTGAAAAATCCAACAATATATTAAATAGGGGAGATAGTGGCAAGAAGGAGACAAGAAAGATACCATTGAATAATCCAGGCATAAAATTATCAAGTCCTGGACTTAGATGGCTCTGAGATAAGCTGAACTGAATTCATGACCATCTGTGGTCATTTATTAAGCCCTTTCTATAAGGGTGTCATGGTAATAAATTAATATGAAAATCCAATTGTGGCTATTACACCTTTCTAAAATGTTGAAAGAGCAGTTTCCTTTCTCTTACCAACAATCTGTGGTGTGGACAAATATACACACACCCATCCATCTCCTAAGGTTTTCTATTTTGTGGACTGAAGAAGTGTTATTCCAAGTTGTAAAAATGAGCATGTGCTTTGGTTTCCAGAGTTTTTAGCAACTTATACCAGCACTGCTGTTTTGTTGTTGTTGTTGCTGTTTTTTAAAAGGTAGTAGGAAGAGACATAATGGTGAAAATATATACAATAATGACAAATAACATGCCCTTTTCAAATTAGAAAGTGAAGCTAAAAGTCTCATGGGTTGCTGTTGGGCAGGGTGTTTCAGCAGGATGGATAGAGAGAGGAATTCAAAAACACTAATTTGGAGAAGAATCACCCACCAGGTTCTGGATAGATACAAGAGACTAGAAAGTGAAAGTGTGGACACATCCCACGGCAACCCCTTGGAGAGAGAAATCTAACAGATATGAAACTGAGAAAGCTACAAGACTGCGTTGTAAGTGCTAAATGCTTTTTCACACAAGTTCCCCCCTCAGCTTTGCTGATTTGGCCAGACACTTGTCTCCAGCCTGAGTAGCTCCATGGAGTCAGTTAGAATTGAAAAGAAGAGCAAGGGAAGCAGTTCCTGAGTGTGTGGATATGAGTGTCTCTAGTTGGGACAGCAAAGAAACCAGCTTCACAACATTTTCACATTGTATACCTCTGACCCAGACTTTGTGGACACAACAAACCTGTGTGCAGCACAACATAATCAGATGTAATGTTTAGTGCATATAATGTGAGCTTACTGTAAACAGTGCTCTGAAGAAGCTGCTTCATTGCACGCACCTAAACTGCCAGGAGAGCCTGCCAGCCAAAGAGACAAGATTTACAAATAAGTTTACAGCTTCCACTTGCGGTGGCCAGACAAGTCAAACATCAAATTATTTGGCATGGCTCCCCATTTAGATCAATGGCAATGAGGCTCACTTGGATTATCAATGGAAGGGCTTTCACAAATTGCACTTTAAATAGGGGCCCCTTAAAAAAACACATGCTACCTATTATCTCCGCTTAGAAACTTAGAATATCCTGGTTGGGATGTGGTCTTCCTTAAGATGAAGCTAATTTAGATCAGCACCTTTTTCAATTTGTTTCATGTGTGTGTACTTTCAAAAACAATAACAGCAGCAAAACAAACAAACAAATTGGAAGGGAGCTTATTTTTCCATCACTGCCCTTGGTAGTAACAGAATGTCTGCAGAATATAGGAGAATAGATACAAGGAATGGGACATATGGAGAATATCTCATACTTGAAGAAAACTATTTTTTAAAACTGCACTAGGTATCTGATGTAAAACCGCTGATGAAATGAGTAGGTATCTTTGGGAGCTGCCTGGTCAAGTGAGGAGCAAGCTGGAAACGTACAGCTATCACTACAGCTTCCCGACTGGGGCGACCAGCAGTTCATTGTTTATGCAACCTTCTCCCAGAAAATACCACGTATTTTCAGGTCTACGTTCCTCAGAACCTAAAACCGGATAGAACCCAACGAAGTTAATGAAATTCCGAGATCTCCGTCCATCAGTCCAAACAGAATTCTGGCCATTATATTAAAATCAAATATCCTATTTCGCTATTCAAATATTGCTAGGAAACTCCAATATTGCTCCTGACTCCCACTTTCTCCACAGTAGCCCTTCCCTCTAGTAAGCATTTTTCTGCTAGAAAGAATCCTAAGATAATATCAGAAGTTGAACTGGGCTACGGAGAGGGAGAAGAGAATTTGGCAGACAAAATGCATGCTGAATTTTAACAGTTGGTAAGTTCTTGGACCACCTGCCAAGGTGCTTGCAAGCAGTTTGCAGAGAAAAACTCTTTCTTTGATTAAAAGTCCCTGCCGGTGGTCTGCAAACTTTTCTCCCTGGGCAAAAAGGACCTGAAATAGATCCTTGCATATTGTGCTACTACGACTGACACATCTAAGGCCATCTCCCGTCCCATGCTTCATGACAGCATGACTTGAAAGTAGCAAGGCATTCTAAAACAGAAAGACAACCCTCTCTGTGTTGGAAGGAAGGTAGCAGTGACTGTAATTAACCGAGAAGCAATTGTGGAACTTCTAGGGCTGTATTTAAAGGGCCATGCGGGAATGAGGTGAGCAGTGGCTGTCAGTGTGTAGTGAAATAAGGATGGGAGAGGGAAATAGGGCAAGAGAAGTAAATAGGTTTTACTTACAGCCCTCGGAGCCGAAGCCAGATTTTCTCGATCTGTTCCGGTTGCAGGTATTTCAGGGAGTTGCTCTCGAATTCTTCAATCTCCTTGGTCGGGGACTCCATAGCTGCAGGTCGTCAGCGGCGGTGAGGCTGAGAGACTTTGGGCTGTCCCCTCCCCGCCTCCTCGCCGGGTCGCCGGTCCGGCCCGTGGTCCCCGGCCGGGAGGGCGCGGCGCGCTCCTGCCTGTCACTTTCTCAGTGCGCCCCCAGACCCGGACTTAGAGTGGACTCAGATCGCGGGCGACCCGGTCCCCAGGTGCGCCCCGGTGACAGCTGCGGGAACCAGCCATGGTAGCGAGCTCATGCCCGGGGGTGGGGACAGGGACTGCGCTGCTGCTCCGGGAGAGAGCACTAGAGAGAGGTCTATTCGGATTCTTCTTTTCTTTCCTTCTAAACAAAAGCGATCGGTGTGGCCGCTGAAGGATTCGGAGGGGAGAGGGAGGGCTGGGCGGGGAGGAGAGGAAGCGAGGAAGAGGAGGGAGAGAGGGAGAAGCGCGAGGGCAGCGGCGGGACCCCGGGCCGCGCCCCA